TAACGAAATATATTTTTTATGATGAATTTTTTTGTTCATCATTAAATATGTATGCATCTATGACTAATTTTTTAGATCTGTCATAATTATGATAAGTTATAGAGATGATTTCAAAATTCATCACAAATTTCTGTCACTAAAAATCATTTTTCTTGTAGTGGTATGGACATAAACAACTAAAATTGTCTATTAAATGTTTGTCAAAATATTTCAATAAGAAGAACTAATATCAATTTCATTTTAAATTCATAATAATTTAATTTATCCAAATGATGTATTTTAATAAATACTTAAAATACATATATTCTAAATACATGTATTTTAAATACACTCATCAAATTCAAATTTAAGTTCTCAAAGACAACCTTAGAGAATTTGGGACGATAAACATAATTTACCCTTTAGACAATTTTTCATGAATTAGGGTTTTCCATTAAAGCCACATCCTCTGAAGGGGTTTGTTTTCCGATCTCAAGCTTTTGCGCGACACTGCAAAGAGAGAGATAGAAGGCAGTAATGGGCAAAAAGAACAGCATGAAAAGCATTGATTCTTATTTTTGAAGATAGAATGCGAGAAGAGGAGGGAGATGTACTTTCTGAGGAGGAAGTATGCCATTAAGGTCTAAGGTTTAGATTAATTAGGATGAATGCCTCAGTGTTAAATTCATTAATGTCCCAACATGAGGATATTTCTTTCACATTAGTTGTTTTCATTTTTACAACTCTCAATTCTTAATCCTTCCTATTCTCATGAGTTATTGGACTTGTAATTGATTACTTTAAATTTGCTACGAAAGTTTCTCAGAAATCTAAAATCCCCTCCCCCCTTCTATTTTTTGGTCGTACAAAAGTTGGACAAATGAAAAACTCAGAGTAAAAGTGTTGAATGCATAGACAAGGGAATAGGAAGGGTCAAGTTAGAGTAATAATTCTTTGACCAAATTTTAAGACAAAATTTAGGGAAAAATTATTTCATTATAGGACTCATGTCATGATAAATAAATAAAAAATATTGTGTAATTTAAATTATACTAATTATTGAATAAAGATTAAGTTCCCTAATATTTAGAGTCCTCTCTATATTTAATAATTTTTGTTGTAAAGTTTAATATAGTTTAAATTGTAAAATAAAATTTTTATAAATTAATGCTAAAAATTTAGTCCTAAAAGCTAGTCTAGGTATATTATCTTTCGTCTAGTTATTAGTTAATGCCCTTTAGGTCCGATAAGCATAGCCTCGTAGAGTCGTAGCCCCCGTGGCAAGATTATTGAAAGATAGATAGATAGGCCATATTTCGGGCTTTCCTGTCCGATAAAGTTATAGGCTCATAGCCCATGATGAAATGAATAAGAGGGAGCAGGGCAAACAATCGGGCTTTTAAGATATTCTGGGCCAGGTTTGAGGCAATTAGGTCCAATCTGTTCGAAGGTAAAACGTAAAATCCCGACCACAGTTGCAGTCAAGCCCACGTCCTTTTTATTCAAAGTCAAACGCGCTAATCTACCTTTTTTTTTTTTGGCATCACTACCTTATGAAAAATTTTAATACTGATCCTGCAACCATGGGCCTTGGCCATAAATAACACCGATTGAAGGTCAAGATCCAAACATCTCTTCTATTCTGCTAATTAAGGGCATAATGTCTATATTGAGATTAAAGAGTTATTTATTTATTTATTTGTTTTTATTTTGACCTTCTGAGGACGTCTTTATTGATAGGGATAGTATTATGTAACTAGTCCATGTGCAAGATTTGATCTCAATGATCAAAAAATCAGTCAACACGATCTTACTGCTTTTGAAAATCATATCACGCATGTGATCATGTCTTTACTGTACTGGCATCATCTTTCTTTGTTTCTTTGCTTCTCCTTGCCTGTACCAACCTCGAACCCATGACCTGTGGCTTAACTATTTCGCAAAATACGCCAAGCCAGCAGGCCAATGGAGAGGTTGGTATCATCTTTCTTTGTTGACCTCGACAATTAATGTTTACACGTTTTAATCCTAGTACTCATTTTGATTTAATTAATTCTTCTTCTTCTTCTTTTTTTTTAATTCCACCAAGCGGTCTGATAGCTACGCGCCTTATTAAAGTCGATGGACTGTTCACTAGATATAAAAATTAAATCCCCAGTTACTAACATTTAACAATACTAATCTATTAATCATTTTCCTTATAAAAAAAAAAAAAATTCCCTTTTCACATCTTCAACCCTATCTCTAAAGTAGAGCAAAAGTGGAAAGGTAAGTAGCTATAAGTAATTACATATCACTAATAATTGGCAAACAGAAAAACAAAAGTACACGAATCCAAATCTTTTGGAACATTAAGGTACACGTCATTTTAGTGGCCTAATTT